GGACGAAATATGGATTCATCCTTCGAAGTTTTTGTGTCGCAAGACGCTCTTTGCAACTACGAAAGCATCAGCCGTGGAGACGCAGCTAAGACCAGCTCACATGTTGTTGAGGTTTGGTTCCACTTGCGAGTCGTGTCAGACAGCAGTGGCGAGTCTTTTCACTCTGTCGTCTCCAAATGGAAGTCCGTGGGGCCCAATCAGTTCAAAATTACTGATGTCCCAGAGTTGGTACCAACTGGAAGCCTTCAAAGGGCAATCCCATTTTCTGCGACTGGAGACGTGGCAACCGTCGTCCCTTAAAAAGATTGCACTCACACCTCACAGGTTCTTGTTTTTTGAACGCCATGACTCATGCGCAGTACCAGTTGTCACAGACCATGGTTTTCTGCCAGCTGGCAGGTGATGCTCATGCACCATGTGGTCCTGGACGATCGAGCCTGGGTCGATCAGCATACCGCTACACTGAAGCGAGCCAACGTTGAAGGCCCTGCGCAGGTCAGAAAATAAGCGAGCCACATACGCACAGGCCCTGCTTTTTGAACGTGAGCGTTGCTATAAATGTAGGGCCATGGTCTGGGAATTTCGACCGCGCCATGAACGAGCAGGGTTTTTTTGCAAAAACTCGCAAGCGCAGGGCTCATGGAGAGCTCGCGTTTTTTCAAAAATCTGCGATACGGCATCGTGAAAATGAGCTTTGTGTAGGCTCTTTTTTTGCAGGTCGTACCAATTATCACATTTATCTAACCATGGTTATAAATGCTCTAAACATGGTTGCGTAAGGGTGATAAACGTGTTTAGCTAAGTGGGACAAACGTGCGCTAACTATGTTTATAAAAGGGCTAAACATGTAGTAAGCGAGGCAAATGTTTAGCAACCAGCGCGGGCATCCAAGTGGTCATAACAGATGGGCAGCAGCCAGGACATTGGCGACTTCTCCACAATAGCTCGGGCCCAGGGCGACGATGCAGCGTAGGAAGCTCCCTGCGCTATCAACCGACGCTGAGCACGCGTGAGCAGCGTAGCGCACAGGATTATACTTTCGAAGCACTGCACCGTGTGTACTTCTATGACGCATGGAGAGCGCAGCCGGTCTTGGATGCCATAGACTCTGACCTCATCCTGCCACCGCAACCAGGCCTTTTAGTGCATGGCTGCTATTGGCCTCGGCAAAGTCTGCCGCCTGATGTCCTCTCTGTCTCTGATCGTGACCCAGACAACGAGGAACATGAAGCTCAAGAAGGGCATTTGCTATCCTCTCCTGCAGAAACAGATGCTGCGATGGCTGAGGAAGCCACACAAGAAGTAGTCTCGGTCCACAGCTCCCCATCAGAGTCACCCACTATCCCGAGCACAGAGCAACCGGAGGACGATGATGCCCACATGGAAGATAATGATAGCGCCAGCAGCTCTTCCGCAGAAGCGGGTGATTGCCTTAGCAATCGTCCGGTTCTTCCTGACGCATGTCCTGCGCAAGATGACATGCTGGCGGCAGGCGATAATGCAAGGAGTGCGCTACCCCCACAGAACGTGGACCATCCAAGTGATAGCCCCAGGTCGCACTCCTCTGAGTCCCCAATCAAGCGAAGACCGGGGCCAAAGGCTCACTGGGCGAGCGCAGCCCAAGAAGTCACGCAAATCACTTGCCTCAACATCCAGGCAACCACTCGGCAGCGTTCCCGAGCATGAGCAACCACCGGCCACGCTGGATGACCTAGCCAGTCGAAACGCTCAAAGGCAAGAGGCCCCAGTTTGCAGAAACCCAGAGACACCACCTAACTGCCCTGGCTCAGCGCAAGAGCGCCCACAAGCCATGACAGAAATTGATATTGCCAGTGATCAAGAGCATGCAGAGCGTGGAGGCACGGCCGCCACTGATCTCCAGCTGGAATCCGAACAGAGAGCCATGCAGATATTGTACGACTATATCAAAAGGCAGCGAAGCTCACGGGCAAAAGGCGCCGCTCCCCTCAATACAGATCTACAGTGACCTGCCTAGAGAATGGCCGATGGCGAGGCTTGCTATCTCCAACAAGCAAATCAACCGCCTTGTCCGCACATTCCTCTGGAGGAGAGTGACTGAACAAGCACTCCATGGCTCCTCGTTTATAGACATTCCAGACCAGATCAACCAGGCCTACATCGGCGATCTTCTCCTGATAAGTGAAGCCTTCGCTGCCCCTCTGTCTAACCTCTTCGCTTTCGTAAAAAATGGGCATCCTGCATGCCCTTTCATCACACAAAAACAGCTCGCTCTCTATGCAAGCCCTCGCTTCTGGCAATATGGCCTCCTAGCTTTCATTGCGAGGTGCTGTTCCTTTGACAATCAACACAGAGATCAGGGTACAGGAGCAGCCCAAACTGGGGAAGGGAAATCGCAGACCACAAAAGAAAAAGATGTAGATGCCCTTACCTTCATGCGCACTGTCGTCATGTCCTTCGTCAGGGGGATGGAGTATGGAGAACAAACGCTACCCACCAATGACCTTTTTGTCTATCTACCAGTCCAGATCCTGCCTGACCTAGTCACAGCCATCGAGCAGCAGGGCTTCAAGCCCGCGGAGGTGAAGGGGGGCTCTGGATATCGGCCAAAAGAAGAAGGTGCTGAAGACAACCCATTGATCGGGGTGGGAGTGCACACCAAAGATATTGCGTATGATCGATACCCCCGCATGCCGACCACTTCCTGGGCCGAAAGAGCTTACTCTAGTGGAGCCCTTGACCCGTCTTTGGGACAAATGGATTCCCCTTGAGACATGGAAGTTTGTTTTTTTAAGATGGTTGTTCAAAAAGTGGTGGTGTGAGAGGACCTGCAGGGAACTGGAACACAAGTGCTGTGCACTTGATGCTGGCCACTGTGCACTTGTTGCTGGGTGTGGCTGGGTGCTTTGCATTTAGCTGCTGACTCAGAATGCAAATGAAACTGAGTTATGGCCAAGGACCTGGTTCCTTTTGCGTGCGCTATTTATAACATGCTAGCTAAAAACTGCTTAGCCACCAAGGTGGCTAGGCACCTTGGCCTTTTTTGGAAAACAAAACCGCCAATAGTGTTTTTTTAACATGACACTGACTTCATGCGATCTCTACCCATTTTAGGGCCCCACCGACCAATGCAAAGCAATAAGTGTGTTATGGCCACAAACTCACTCCCAAAAGGCGGCCTGTCATCCAAACCCAAACCTGCACAATACACCATGTGCCCTACAAACCTGTTCTGTTTGTTTGTTTTGTTTGTTTCGTTTTGACAACTGCGAGAGGACCAACACAAAAACCTAACTGCATTATTAAAACTATATGCGCGCGAAGTGAGAGGTCCTTCTTAAAACCAAAACGTGGCTCACTTAGTCACAGTACTCCATTCACCTGGATTGCAAATTACACGAGGCATCCATGTCAAGAAGAAATACGCCTTCACCTCATCAGGTCCGGGTCCAGGTTGTAACTTGTGGCTATCATGGCTTTCAGAACCAAGCATCCCAGGTTGGATGGAATGGCATCTACATGTTTAGTGAAGAAAAACTACAAAACTGTTGGCTGGAGTCTTTGTAAAAATTGCTGGCTTCTTAAAGTTGAGAGTGAAATTAAACAAATCGAAGCACGCTGACTTCAATTGCATATGGCTGGGACGCTCTTTTTGACACCACGCGCATTCGATATCCAGATAGCTACAAAATTGAAATCTTGCGGCCCACATTGGAGTCATGTTCCAGTCTCATTTTTCTCTTTCTGTTCCTTCTCTTTCTCATTCTCTTGCAACTGGCTGAGTCTTTCCTTCATTTCTTTTGCTTCTGCCCTTCTTTTGGCTTTCCTCTTTTTTTCTCTGAGTCTCTTGGCCGCTTTGATCCGCTCCAGTTGCTCTGCCGGTGATCTCTTGCTCTTGCCTTGTTGGTCTGGCTTTTTCGAGGCGGCTGTTGAACTTTGGCCAGGAGTCGGGGTGCTGCAAGCTGGCACTTCTGAGCCCCCTTTGCTTTCAATCTTCACATCCGGTTTCTTTTCCACATTCCCTTTGCGGTCTTCTTGTTCTATCTCGTGGGGTGCAATGAGCGTGGCATTGCTCAAGGTTGATCCCTCTGTATCGGAGTTGTCCACCAACATGCCTGGTTGAATCACAGTGATATCAGTGGCACCACTGCCTTCGCTGGCTGTATCACTTGTTGCATCCACATTGGCCATGGCTTGAACCAGAAAACAAGGATCGCTTACAAAAAATGAAAAGAATAAAGAGTTGAAAAGTCAACCTCATTGAGTCGCTGAACATAAATATTTGTGGTCTGTTGAATTAACATCGTTTGGTGTGATATCTTGGCCCCTTGATATCCAAAAATTGCTTTAAAGTTGAGAGCTATATACATTGATGCTATGGACAGAATACACTGCGGATCATTGAGTTTGTGTTCGAGTTTGGCAGCCTACTACTGGAACCAAAGTCTGGCACGCCAAGTCGACATGACCTGGCAGCCAAACCATGGAACCAATAGCCTGGCACACCATACAAGTGTGAGTGAACAAACAATGCGCCACATTCAGTTTGCGAAAACTTTGCAAAGTGTGACATGGAAGCTTGAAATTCTGGCCTCAGAAAGAGATTTCTGCCATGTAGCGCAGTCACACCTCTTTTTTCACACTGCGCCACTCTCCTTTGTTTGGGCCATGTCGCTGGGCCATTCGAGGGCCTTCCAAACCAATAAGTTGGCTCATTGAATTTATCATATCCAATCTTCATCCAAATTGCAAATTGTAGAAAAAGTACATTCAGCAACACCTGGCCTTCTGGAGATTGGGATCCAAAAACTGCTCAGATCACAGCTTTGCAGGGCGTTGGCCCAAACGGCGCTTGGACTTGAAACCCAACAAACACCCTGCGCCACATTCCGACTAGGAGACAACAGTTGAAAATAACTTAGAACATATAAATCACAAAGTGCAACATGTCAAAAACAAAGTGGCTGAAAGCAGAAGCCGGATCCAAAGGTCACAGTCACAGCTCCAGCTGTGACTGGCCACTAGGGCCGAACAACTACTAACGCTTGCTGAGGCGGGATCTGCACCGGAGATTTCAGAAACACAGCAGGCTTCAATGGAATGAGGCCTTTCACTGGGCTATGCTTCATGTGCCACATGATGGCCACTGAATCACTTGAGTGCCACAGCTGTACATTCTCACGAGCGCCAGCGTTGGAATCCTTCACCTCAGCAGCTTTTTCCTCAGGCCTGGGAATGAACACCACTCGATGGGTTCTCTTCAGTTGGAACTTGTGGGGATCTTCACTATCAAAGCTCATCTGGAAGTAAGTCACTTTGGTCTCGGGGTTCTTTTTCCTCAAGTCTTTCACCACTTCTCCCAGCTGCACCACACGCCCATCGAAACAAATCTGGTCAGAACTGCCTTCCAAAGATAGTTCAACCCCACCATCCGGCAAGTCAGCATCACCCTTGATCATCTTGAAGCTTCCCTTTCCGAAGCCACAAATTGGCAAATCCTTGCCTGACCAGTCCTTGTTGGCTTTGTTGGCCAAGAAGATATGGTTGCCAGCCCTGACTTGAAGCCACAAGGAGTCCTTGACGTTGGTGCCAACCTTGCACTCATACAAAAGCGCTTTGTCGATCTTCTCCAGTTCAATCAAAAGCGATGGGTCTGTGGCCTTGGTTCTCTTTGGGGTTGTCTGTCCTTCTGGCTCTCCAGCTTTTCGCTTCTTCTCTTCAGCGTTTGGACTAATTGCTTGGGCCTCGATGACCTCATAGGTCTCAAGAAAATTGTCCAGCACCTTTTGGAACTGGCTCCCACAGGTTGAGTGTCCACGCCATTCTTGCACAAGCTTGGCAGGCATGAACAGCTTGCCATCCCGAATGACCTGTGGTGAACCAATGAATATCAAAAGTTGGCAACTGGATTGGTAAGGAAGGATTCAATGAATGCTGCTTTATGCTTCTGGTTACTACCCAAAATTGTCTATTGAGTCTATTTGTTTTAAGCCATACTGTTGTACTTGGTGATGGCCTGGGCCTAAAAATGTTGTCACTAAAAGAAAACAATTCTGATCAATGTCCAAAAAACCAAGCAGTTGAGACGAGGGTTCTGGGGCAAGGCCTCCAGCAAATCATCGGGGACAGACGCCTCAATTTTCTCTCCGTTGGGGAGCGCGGTGCCAGCAAGAAACTTGTCAGCCATATCATTCTTGATCCACTGCTCCACATAGCTGGCTTCATTTTGGTCTTCAGCCAACCCGAAGTAAAAGACATGAGGCGTGCTAGCCCTCATCTTGCAAAATGCCTGCAGCATGTCGCCGGTCATGATGTGCAAATCTATCAGCAAAAGAGCGGGACCAATGGTTGAGTATGTGCTCCCTTTCAGCAAGCCATTGAGCAGCTCATGGCAACAATCGGCACCAATTTGTGAGTATTTTGAAGCACCTTTCACTCGGCTGGTGGTATCAGTAGACTCAGGCAAAGCATCGTCAGCCAAGTTTTCCACTTCTCGCATATCTCGTTGGTGCAGCTGGGCCACCTCATTGGTTCGCTGAAGGCGCCGGAGCTCTGAATTCCAAAAAACGTTCTTCTGAACATCGAGGGGGGGAAGCAAACACAAATTTGCCTGCGTACACCAGAGGTCGGAGGTCTCTGTTGTCCTGCCGGTTGCCAAACATTATGGCAAAGCCCCAATCCAGATTGTGATTCCCACCCATGAGCTGGTCATACAAGGCGCGTTCTTCCAAAAGGATGCGGCCCTTTTGGTAGCTGAACACTGGGTTGACTACAAGACCCACGCCTTGCATATTCTCAGCCAAGGCCCAGGTCATCACCTCAACACTGTTCTTCAAATGCACCGTGGAGAGGACACATGGGGCACTGGCATTGAGGTAGCAAATGTGTGGGATCTGGGTCGCATGCTCCAAGCCCATTTGGTTCATGATCACTTGGCGCCTAAAGTTCATGCATTCGCCGATGTTCTTCTCAACCTTCTTGTCCCAAGGCGCAATCCGACAGCAAGACTCGAAGAAGGTGTCAGCTGCGGCGAGGGCCTGCTGCCTCTTGTCAACCTTCCATTTCATTGCAGCATGATCACGATTAGCCATAGCTGTGGCTTTCTTGGCCTCCCATGTGGTGAAAACCTGAACATCATATTCAATTTGCTTCACCACCAAATCAAATTGTCCTTGTGTGATGGAGCTTTCCTCATGGTGGCTTCTCACCACTGGTCGGGAGATGACATCACACAACTTCTTCATGCTGGGCACATGGGTTCGAGGATCCAAGTCTTCTCTCCTTTCAAGGAGCAAACTATCTAGCTCAGTATCCACGTTGCAATCCCCTTCAGCCCAAGCCACACACCAATCCTGGAAAACCTGCTCAAACCTCAAAGGCACCAGGTTGCATAGTTCATTGGCTAAGTTGTAAGCCAAGGCAGCTTTCCTCGATGCATCCTCTACAACACTTGAATCGGGCCTGGAACGCATCTCCACCGATCGGGCCTTGAACTTTGCATGCAAGTAGCGGATTGCAAGCAACATGCTTTGGTCACTGGTTTTCAAACGGTTCACCCATTTCTTCGATTTGGCCGGGAAGGAAAACTTTGGGAAAAGCTTCTTGGTAGACAAGTTGTCATCCGACCAAAGAGCCTGGTCAGAACCCATTTCTGACACATGGCTCAAGATCAGCTGGAGGGCCTCCTGCCAGGGAGCCCTTGGGGAGAAAACATGTGAGATGGTAAGATCAAACAATTCAACACTTTGAAGCGCATCTTCCTGAATCTATATAAAAACATGAAGATCCAATCCAATAGAAACAAAATTACAATATAGAATAATAGTATGCCAATTTGCAGACTTTGAGCTAACAAATTGAGACACCCTCACTGCCCATCACCCAGTCCTCAGGGGCTTCTTCAAAGAGCAACTTCATGGCGGTCAAACGTTTCCCTTTGAATTGAAACTGTTGGGCAGACATAGAGTTCCACTGCCGGACAAAGACCATGTGATCTCGCACACTGCCCATGTTCATCAAGTTTTTCACCATCACAACGCATTCCAGTGTAGTGGTTGCTTTCCGAAGGGAAGACCGACAGCTGATCCTCATGTTGGTCAAAGCCTCTTCTACCCGTGAACTGACCTTCACACTGTGCATGTGAATGCGCCTCACCGAAGCATACAGAGCGCTGAGGTCTGCCCAAGCATCGAACTTCATCACCATCAAGCGGTGCAGCAAAAACAACAAAGATGAAGCGCGAGCCATACCCTTCAGGTATCCCACTCTAAAGCAAGGCAAAGGTTCTGTAACTCCATCATGCCACAAAGACACTGGACGTCGGGAGTCTTCAACTAGCATGTTCTCCAACACCAGCAGCGGCCCAGTGTCCGGTGTTGTGGTGAGGAAACCTTCCAGTAAGAACTGCTCACACAAAGCAAGACATTGCGCTTGGCCTGGAGGAGGCTTCAGAGAACATTTCTCAGAGAACCCCAAACTGGCTACATGGCACAAGAACGGAGGGGTTGAACTGGCTTCAGACTCCTGAATCAATGGCAATCCTTTGGTGTGATGATACAGACATGAATCTTCTTCCGGAAAGGTTGTCCACAACCACTCCCCGAACTCCAACAAGTCCACATCGGCCAGGTACTGGGCGGGGCCACCGGCTCTGGTGAGCACTGAAGACAAGTCCTCCATCACTCTATCCTTCACACGGTTGTTCCAGGTGCTTGGCATATCTGGACCTGCTGCTGCTTCAGCCTCATGGCTTGGAGCTATGAGCCATTCATCCAAGGTGGTGGCATCCATCTTGGTCTCTCCAACTTCATGGTCAGCTATCATCGTGTTTCAAGCTTGGCAAGCCTCGGCCTGGCAGCCTCCAGAAGAGGCACGCCAGTCCAAAGGCAGCCTGGCCTTCACACCGAAGATGGCTCCAAATGAATCTTGAACCCTGCCATAGGAAAACGGCCGCGGATGAGTGAGACTGGGTTTGTGAAAACAAAGCTCCACCAGTGACTGCAAAACAAAAGAATATAAATTTCCAAAGGTCCAAAAATTTCTGAAATTGTTTAAGCAAGAATCCGGCCCATGTCCCTACTGTAGAATTTCAACCGGAGATGGGCTGGTTTCATTTGAAACCGGCCTATGTTCCATTGAAGACAGAAGATCTGCCTAAAAGGGAATTGGAAATACAACTGTTGATTTGGCTGGGAAGTGCAAAACACAGTCGAGATAGGCTGGTTTCAATTGAAACCAGCCCATCTCACAATCAAAATTTTAAGTAGTGAGATGGGCATTTTTCAATCAACCTTAAACATTTCCAATGCAAACAGAATGCTCGCAAATTTTTTGCAGTACCGTTTAGGGTTTAGGGTTTCACTCTGCGACCGCTTCTGTTTTTTCCCAAGATGCTCCTAACCAGATCATCCCTGAAGTAAGATGGAACCCCCAAGTTCCAGCTTGAGAAACGGTGACACTGTGATGTATCACATAGCTGCTGGCCACACAAACCTGGAAGTCAATCAAAAAGTGAAAAATACACCTAAAACAACATCAATGTCCAGAAAAAAACATCGGGCGTTAGTCAGAAATATTTTGGTTCACTTCTGCTGCGTGGCCTTAGCTAGAAGGGACACCAGCGGTGGTGGGTACTTTTGGCACCACTTCGACATTGAAAAGCCAAGTTCCGAGCCCTCTATGGGCCTGTGAGTGTGGTTGCCTGGGCACTGCCTCTGGTTCAATTGATCAGCCAACCACTTGTCATTGGTTAAAATAGTGGTTCTTTTTTTTACTGGCTGTCCTGCTGGTGAAACCATGCCACAGGCACACATATCGAAAGTTGCTGTGAATACATTTGGATGCCGCTGGACCTCTTGGACTTCAGGTAAGCCCCAAGAGGACGCCTTCCAAGGATGTTCATACATGAAGCGGCGTTTGCCGCGCAGCTGCACTTTGGCACAAGACATGCTATGGCAAACATATTGCACTGCCTGCTGCCAACGACGATCAAAATCACTAGCGCTCATCCTGTGGTAGTTGAACAATCTCATGAGCTCGCTGAACATCGTGCGTGGAGGTGATAGGTACAAAAACCAAATGCATCCAGAACGAAGCATCTTCAAAGTCAGCGCTCTCAATTCCGCAATGTCGAAGTTCCAGTGATTCAAAACGTCAAAACTGAAGCAACCCAAAGGGGATGCAGCAACTTCTGGCGTTGCTTTGGGAACTACTCGTGGCACAGAGTATAACTCCATGGCCAAGTTGGCCAAGTGTTTCTTTTCATGGTTTTCTGCCTTCAATGTAATCAGCCATTTCTTCATCTCCGCTGGACCAGGCACATGGTGGTCAGTTTTTTCCAAAAGTCCCAACTCACTTTCGGATACTGAAGACAAAGAACAATGGTCTGAAAATTCCATCTCTTCATCGGAAACTGGAGGCAAAGATGGCTCACCATTTGAACCAGCGGTATCTACATGCACAGTCTGGCACTGGGCAAGCTCAGAACTGGTGGCCACCGAATCGGGCAAAGAATCTGTGCTTACTGCGGAAGGCAAGCTTGGTAAGCTTTCATCGCTTTTCATCGAACCCATGGCAACTCAGAACCATGAAAAATCTAGATGCCAGTCATACTCAGTAGTAATTATCAAAGTGCGCATGTTACTATTAATATGTCCCATAAATGAAACAGGTGAAACTGGCAACATTTCCACTTTGAAATGGTTTGGGCCAGGTGGTCTGGCCCCTCAAGTCCAGCAACTCTTAAAAACCCATGACTTGAGGGGTGCAGATTCCATGATCCTACCCCAGTGGATTTTTTAGATGAAACCCTTCAGTGGTTAGGGAAGGACATGGCTTCAAAACAGAATAATACCACAACCTTATTACATAGCTTTGCACCAACGCTCCAAAAAGGGACCATCAAAGGTTTTGGGTCAAGTCGCCCTACAGGGGGTCCACAAAAACTCTGAGGGGCCACTAACCCAAATAGCCCAATAGTGCAGGACCTACAGCCAGAGGGCAGTGTGTTCTAGCCAGTATATGAAGACTACCACATGAAGTGCCGGTCATTACAGGCTCTAAGTTTCAAAGCCATTATACAAAAGATGCCTGCCAACAAGGGTAAAATTGGGCCAATAAGGACTTAGAACCATGGCGCTCTTTGGGCAACCAATCATTATACATGTTTTAACGTCTAATAGATGTTAGGTTTTTTGTTGCTGTTTTTTTGTGTATTGATATTTGAGCTATGTGGTTATTGTTGGCTGTGGCTTGGCGGTGAGAAAGTCCAGGTGTGATAGTGAAACGAATGGATATTTAGTTTAGTATTCAGTATTCTCTTAAAATGATGAAGCCCAAGTGAGAAGGTGGGAGATTGGCCACGAAGGCTTGCTGAGAGAAAAACGGTTTGGCGAAGTTGATTCATAGTGGTGTGTCAAGTGATTGAAACCAAATGTCTGCTTGTTTTGGAAAATGCTCATTGTTGCTGCAAAAATGTAAAAACACATTATAACTCTAAAACTGTGTTCATACCAATGTCCATGTATCCCAGTATGCTTGTGAAAAAGCTGATAGCTCATACAGCTTTGGAGTTTTGCATATTTCACTTCATTGAATTGTCTGACTGAGCCAGGCGTGGGACGATCAGAAAAGTTCCAATGCCAACCTGAAAAAATGCAGCTCACTGGATTGAAACACACGTTGACCCCAAACCTGAAAACGCACAGCAACATCTTCAAAACTGAAAAGCCAAAAGTTGAACACCGCTATGAATTGAGAAATGTGGAACTCTAATGGTCTCTATCATAAATCGCAACAAAAACCAGTCTGCTGCTTGCAGGTTTCAACTCGTCTCGCTTCAATCCACATTTTGTGGTTCCAATCTGTAGATCCACCCTTCAGGTGAACAGTGAAAACCATCTTGCCCCGCCTCGGCTTTGCCGCGGCAGAGTTGGCAACCAATCTTTGGAGTCTGTTTCTTCCTGCATTTGCTGCACCCAAAGCATTCGAAGCCTGGCAAGGCCCGGATTGCATCAGCTGAGCCAGGTGGTTTTTCCACAGCTGCAGCTGGGCGACGCATCTTTTTCACACCACCAGCCTTGGGCGATGGCTGTGATTTTGCCTCGGCTGATGCTGCTGCTTCTGATTTTGCCACAGCGGAGGGCGCAGCTGCAGCCGATGACGGTCTATCTGATACCTCTAAGTCTATCACATTTGCCAGGCCACCTGCTGGGAGGTCAGTACTTGAAGCGGGCCTTTTCATTTGGATGGGGCGTGCTGGAAGTGCGGGTCCAGCTGCTGGTCGCTTCATGGCCATCTTCTTGGCGCCCACTCGGATTGGGCGAGGTGGAGCATTCTCTGGTGGCGGCAAATCTTCGAGCAAAAGTGCAGGGCCAATCACTGGATCCAATCTGGGACTTTGGCTTTCAAAAGAAAAGACCCAGAACAAGTCAGGTGGCTTTGGCACCACACCAGCTTCATTGCGTTCACACAAGTCCAACAAGTAGCTTTGGCCTTCTAGCAAATTCCATGGTGGTTTGCCCACCAACTCGGCAGTCTTGCGGAACTCCTGTAGGGTGGTGGGCGCAAACTTGTTCAAGCTTGAAGGCGCCAAATTGTTCTTGGACAGTTTCTGGTAGACCTGGTATGGCATGATGACCTCTGGGGCCTGAGACATTTCTGGGGATGAAATGTATTGCTTCACCTGCATGCAAATATCCAATGGATTTTCTGGCCAAAGGGCCCACTCATCATGGTTGTTCTGAATCAGCTCTTGCTCCAAAATTTCTCGTCGAGAAAACCGCCAGAGGTGGTTCGCGTGCGGTTGGAGCTTGGTCGCGGTCAGACCTGAGAGCTGGCAACTTGTCTGCCCAGCAAACCACTGGCTGAAGCTCCAATGGTTGTCAAGCACATGCACTGACAAGCTTCTGCCCTGAGCAGGACGCATATGGGCCTGCAAGTAGCTTTGCAATTGGTCGATGCTTTGCAACTCATCACAGCGCTTTATCAAACTGGCCATGCTTGAAAACCGCTGATCCAGCTCATTATGAGTGTGCGATACTTGCAGAAACTCAACTTGCACCGAGGCGAAGTGCTTGCAGCTGAGATATGCACAAAACTGTGCAAAGTACTGGTTCTTGGCCTCTCTGGGGGTGTTGTCAACGGCCACGATGAGGTGGCAAGGCAAATCGTAGCTTGGATCTATTTCTTTCAATCGCTTCTTGGTCTCATCAAGCGCTTTAGCCAAAATTGTGCATTCCATAGATGAGCTTTTGGGCAGGTCCATGGGCAACAAATAGTATTGCTCTTCCACACCCCATATCACCACTCCAGTCACATGCACATTGGTTTTCCATGCTTTTCCATACTCAGATGTGCCTTGCAAACGCCTTGCACGGGGCATAGAAAATTTCTGTTGGTCCATGCCGTCGATCATGATCTTTACACAACCGGTGTGTTGGAAGTTTGGCTGGAAGTTTTTGAGGTCTGAGCATTTCAGGTTGCCTCGAGTGTTCACGGAACGGTCTGCCTTCACAGTCTCTAAGTGTAGCATTTTCTCCTGGTCAACAGCAAACCTTTCTGCTTCTGATGTTGAATTTGTTCTTTTCTCATCAAGGCCCAGGCAAACACTGCACTTATTGCCTGTAGTGGGACTTTTCAAAATCAAATGCCTTGCCCAAAATGTGTTGTACCCACGTTCCCAAGTGGTCCTGGAGACTTGTTCCGAGGGCGCAACATCTGAACAGTAAAATCTGAAGAAATCCAACAAAGTTGAGAAGTTGACATGCCGCCTGGGCGCCAAGACTTGGGCTGCACTTGAATGACCTTTGGTTGGCGTGATGTTCAGCGACAAACCATACAAAGGGTGCGAGGTGTCGCTGACAATCTCGCGCACAATTGCTGGAGGTTGCTGTTCTGAATGTAGCGGCTCTTGGCGACCAAAGAAATACTGGTCTTCACTTCCGGGGAGAGCTAGAGGATCCGCTAATAATTGGTACACCTCCAAGAACCACAAGTTGGCCCGTTCCAATTGTGGAGTTGCTTTGCCTAATTTGGGACCAGGTTTTGGCAAGGTGATTTGGCCGGCTCTGCAAAGTTTCAGCCAATGGTCCACAGTCTTGGGCGACACTCCCCGTTGATGCTCCCAAAATTTCCTGCACACACGTTCGGCTTGGAAGAAGAACTGCAAGCCTTTCTTCTGGTGATCTTCATCATTCTTGTTGTAGACTGCACGGAGAAGGTCAAACTTTCGTTGCTGGATTTCAGATGCTGTGCCTAGGTTCTGCTGCAGTGACTCTGCTTCTAAAGTCTCCTCGGCGAAGAGAGAGCTGCAATTCCTCTTGCAGCATTGCCAGCCTTTTTCCTCAGGCTCACCATCTGAGTTTATCGAAGGTGGTAGTGAAACTTCATCTTCTTCAGAATCAAGATCTGCGGTGGCAGCAGTGTTTCCTGCTGCAGCCTCACCTGAAGCGAGGGCGGCCACATCGGAATTGACCGACTCAGGAGGGCTGAGGCTGCAAGCATCCTCCTGGTCCAACTCTTCCCGAATGGGTTCCATGGGACTAAAAGTAAATGTTCAGAAACAGATCCTGATTTCGATCAGTTTTGCACTCGATAGTTCTAAGTTATTGCACTGGTACGAACTCAATTTATAGTTTTTTTCCGTCAGGTTCTTTGATTCTGTTGTGGTTGCTTCTCTTGTGTGTAAAAAAATCCTTGAGTCTGAAACCAAATAAGTCTACAGGTCCAAGAAATCTGTGGTGTGATTGAAGAAACACAAGGTGCCTGAAAAGGCCCAGCTGTCCAGCCACGGCCTGGCAGCCAGCTCTGAGGTTGGCACGTCAGCAATGGCAGCCAAGAAAGGATGGCACACCACCGCTGACAGCCAACCATGAGCTGGCACGCCTGACCATGGCAAAACTGCTGAGCGCCAAAAAACAGGTCAGCGTTTCGTCATGTCTGAAACACAAAAAAGTGTCACAAGACAAGAAGCCTCAAACTCGAATCACAGCTTATTATTTATCTCTTGCCCATTGTAGTAAACTCACCACAACTAATCAGATACAAATAACCATGCGTGGTTACCGGTAAGAAGAAACATTTTTTGACCATGGCCTCACCAAAAGGAAACCTAATAATAGCCAGTCAAACATTTCATTTGATATTGGGGAAACTTGAATCCTTAGTTTCTGATTCTGTAGCATATGAAATCACAGTCACATCTAAACGTTTCCCTCGACATTGCTTTCAAAAAGCCACATCGGCTAGAAAAAAGGAAAATGGCACAGCAGTTTTTGTTGGTGTTGGAAAAGGGCAACCTGTAACCTGAAAGAAAAAGGCAAAGTTCAAGGTCCTTTCAAAACAATCCATGTGAGGCAACCAACTGCAACGTGAGTCCGCATCAAGCGCAAAGAACCCAGCATCAAGTAAGCGCTGAACACACCCAGCCATAAGTGCAATGTACCCAGTGTCCGAAGCACACCAAGTGCAATATAACCAGCATGACAAGCACATCAAGTGCACAGCACTTGTGTTCCAGTTCCCTGCAGGTCCTCTCACACCACCACTTTTTGAACAACCATCTTAAAAAAACAAACTTCCATGTCTCAAGGGGAATCCATACAAGCCTTCGCGTTCCCCTCCCTGCTGCAACTGCGGATGCGCATTGAAGTCCCCGTATGGAGAGACCTGGCAATAGCCAGAAATCCCACAGTCGACCTGCCAGCAGAAGAAGACTCTGCCTCAGAAGACACCGGGTCGGCAGAACGGTCGCCTCGACTTGCTCTCCCAGCGCCGGTGGGAATGGTTGAAACGCAGGCAGACGAAGCAGACGAAGCCACAAAGGACGAGGCCATGAACGTTGAACCCAGCTACGCCTTTGCCAAGGGGCATGGAAGGTTTGGCGTAGGCTACACTAGACTAGCAACGGCGCTTGGCAATTTCGAGCAAGGGGACATCGGAGCAGAAAGCGCAGTGGTAGCTCAATGGCTGACCTCCGGGCTAAGAATTGCCATGTCCCGCACAGGGTGGAACCTGATATCTACCCGTTTCAGCTTGACCAAGGTCCCTAGTTCTGTCCTCAGTGACTACTACCGCAAAGGATATCCTTTCACTCCGAAGATGGCAGATCGGCCTTACAACCAATATGGCACGATTCACTACTCCGAAGAGAAATGGGATCAGCTCTGTGGGTGGCTCACTGGGAACCCCACGTTCAGACTCCAACTCGCGAGCCATAAGCAGGCACTTAGAGACCACATGGGCTACAGTCAGGAAACCACCGATCCAAGTAACAAAGCCCGCCGTACTGACCCCCCTATGGAAGTGGGAAGTTCCTCGACTGCAGCAGGGTCTTCCTGGCACAGCAAGCCTCCCCCACCGCCTTCGCCCTCAGGGTGGTCCTACGGGTGGTGGCAGTAGTGTAGTCGTCATCAGGAGCCTTCCCACACAACAACTGCCTCCGGGCCGCTCAACCTCCGCCATGAGATGGGTGACCTTAGTCACCTTCTCTATTGTGGCCTAGTTGCCACTATGGCCTTGCAAAGGACACATCTCCTGTACCTCAGTTGTTTGGCTCAAGCAAACCAAGCACCTACATAGCAACGCCGCCCCCCCCAAGATCGCTATGAGGTTAACCTCGAGTTGGTTACCGTAGCAGGCACGGAATATACGATGCAAGCAAACCTCTCCCATTATGAAGACGTGGCAGAGCTGGAAGACAATATTCTTTGCTTTCTACCTACAGTCTCTGACTTAGAGGTGTTTGGTTGTGAATTGGAATTGCTCGACCTTCGCAAGCAGCAACCTCTGTCAGAGGCATTCCGCACGGTGCTCCTGCAGCGGCCGCAACTGCAAATAGTAGTTCGTCCCTCGTGAAAGTTTGACACACAAACTCCTGATGGAAAATCAAAAGCTCTCGTGCTCAAAACACCTAGTCAGTCAAGTGTCTCAACGACCCGAGTCGAAAACGAAAGAAAAGCAGGCAAAAGACACGCACACTTTTCGCCGCACACTTGAGCCAAAGTGACGAACGTTCTCCAAGGTTCACAAATGTTCTCGGGACATTTGTGGACATGCAAAACCATACTCAAAACAGTTCTACGCTTCACAAAGGTTCTAAAAACAGTTGGAAACAACTAAGAGCATAGTCTAAACATCTTCGGGTGTTCTCGGACACCTCATACACAAACTACAAACATATGGAAACATTGAAAGGGATCTTTCAATGTCCTCAAAGGCTAACGAACGTAATTCAAACAAGCCAAAACTCTCCATGGCTTTCTTTGCGGTCTCTAAACAAGTGGTATGGAGTCTTCGCTCCTCAGTACTATAAATTCTCACACCCCCTTTCGAAGCTCACATGCCACTTTGGACAGTGGTCACTCGCTGTTCCAGTAAGCGCCTGCGCTCACAGCAGCTACACAAACCAAAAGAGGTGACTTTCTTGCCTCGCAAGTATTGGCATTGACGGTCAAGGTGGAATTTGGACCCAGTCGAGGTCACAAATACCTCAAGTACCTTGTTCACTGCATTCATCTTCATCCACTCGGAGGTTGCAGTGTTCTCAACACCACTCGGCCGGCCAGCAGCGCTCGAAGCAGCAGCACCTGTAGAAGCAGCAGCAGAGACTTTCTCTCTCAACAGCGGCTCTTGCTTCTCTGGCTTATCGGCCATCATCCTCTTCTGTCCCAAAAGGCTCTTCGCCATTCCAGCAGCGCCAAAAAGCTTCACAAGCAAACTCAGCGCGCCATACAACGCCAGCGCAGCAATGCAGCTGCCCTCAAACGACAACATGGCTTCCCGCGCGGACGCCCCACACACACAAACGGCTGCGGAAAAGTTCGGCGAAGAAAAGTTCTCCGAAAGGAAAGAAAAGATAGGAAGGGGCGACTCAAGGGTCATTTCGACATGAGCACGGCTTCCTGAAAAACAGTCTCACTGTTCAACTGATTTCAAGTCTCTCGAAGTAAGGTAGTCACACAGACCGAGACAAGATTCATGAAGTACCTTTGTCAAAAACCTGATCCAATTTCATCGACTCTCGACAGACTCTACAGTAAACAGTCTAGAAGGTGTGAACAATCACAGTTCAAAAGCTATTGAATTCCAGCGGCATCTCATGCACACGTATTTTCACATCGATCATCGGAAGCTTCATCCGCAAGTGTCATCAAGCTATCTGTGCAGCAACAAAAGCAAAGGCTCTCAGCCAGTCGGTTGCTCAGCTTGGGTTCTCACCTCAAGGATGCACAGATGCAAAAACTCTTCACAAGAAAACGAGCAAATTTCATTGAGTACCTTTCAGTATCATGGTAATCAACTGCATTGAATGGTGCATGACTCTCATCGCAACGACATTGAAAGCGAGAGTTCAACCGCTGACTCAAAAACGAGTTGGAACTCTGAATCCTGAAAATTTTGCCAATTCGAAGTCCACTCTGGGTTTCCAATCCCATTGAACAAGCATGACATTCACTCTGATATGCCATTCCGTGCTTTTCGAAGAAATTCTGAAGATCTCGACTCTTCCAGTATTGATTGCTTCTCGGCAGTTCGAACGAAACAGTGACAGACACTCCATCAGATGACTTGATCTCATCAAGATACTTTCCAGATGACTTCAACAGATAGAAGAACTCTTTCTCGTGCTTCTCATTCCTTCCCCAAAAATTCAAGAGAGGGGATCCGCCTTTGCAAGGAAGAGAGATGTGCACGAGACATGCCACCTGAGATCCATGCGGGCATCGACTGAATCCATCACGGAGCAGGGTCAGCACCTTATTGCGAACTCCGATCTCCTGGAGGTTTGCATGGATTCCTATGTATCGAACATAGTCAACTTCTCGACAAGATCTTGCAATGACTGACTCTTTGCCACAAGCTACTTCTAGCACAGTATATCGAGGGTACCTGAGTTGATCCGACTCTCGGATGACTGAAACGGCTGAGTCACACTCAAAAGTCACTCTTGACAACGTTTCGTTTGAACATCTTAGCATCACACTTCGCGGGGGCATTGAGGCCAACAGCGAAAAGATGGTCACATTCTGCTCAGCTGTCAACACTCCAGTACCATGGCATGCGATGCAGCATTGAACCGGTCTGGATGTCCCTGAACTGGCCACTGAACTCCCAGTTTGGCCCATTGGTGTCGAAGTATGTTGAGATGCTAATCCCATGATCCTTGTGATGTCGCTGGTCGAACCGATCGGCGATTCCACTGAAGCTGGTGCTCCCCAATCAATGAGCGGCCTCGCCGGTGAAGACTTCGGCAAAACAGGCGCCACCGTTGGAGACTTGGGTACCTCAGCTGGTCCCGTCACAGGGAATCCGATCTCAGTTGGAGGAGGCGGTGGTTCCTGATGAGCTGTAGGCGGGCTGTCCAACGGCGGTGGAGGAGGCTTTGGACTCACCTTCGGTGACACACTCTCCTCAACAGTCTGCTCTGGCAATCCCTCAGGGTGCTTCATGGGCGACGGATCCTTTGTCCGCTCTACCCCACTTGGCTTCGGCTCTGCCGGAGTTGCAGCATCGACCAGAGTTGGGCTAACTGATCGA